CAAATAGAAAGGCCAGAAGGGCGCGTAGCAAAAACTAATTTGTATGCGGAAGGCAACGGATGTCGCCATTGGACGGACATGGACACGGACACTGGTTCTGGCTGTGGACGGCGGTTTGTTTTGCTTTTGGCCCCGAAACGCGGCCAAACTGCGTAATCTGTTTTGTGGGCGACGTGCGATCTGGAAGTGTGGCTTTATGCGAAAGTGTCAAGGCGCAGGTGACGACGATGACGGCGACACTTTTTCTGCAAAAGTGTGACAACAACGGAAGGCTGTCGCCACCGGCTGAAGACATTAGTTATCCATACGGGTCAGGGATGTCATCCGCTCCTCTCTCACAGTCATTATCCTTGAAAAATCATTCCCTATTTCATAATACTGCCTCTCTCCTGTTGAAAATTAAAACATTTTTTTAATTACTGCAAATATATACAAGAAATAATCATGAAATTAGGACTAAACGAGCGAACAATTCGCTGACGATGCCCTTCAGGACTCCATGGGCTGAATAAACAAGATGGCAGATGATTAAATAAATAAACAGCTGCGGGAACGGAGAGGTGGCATGGTGGCAACAACGTGGTAATCAAATCATTTACAAAATAAAAGCAAATTAGGGAAAATTGTATGAAATGTGCTTGCTACCATTTACGAAATATTCGGAATCCGAAGCAGGATTAGGACCGAGAACGAGACCGAGGCAGTAGCATTTTGCAACGATTTCCCAACTTGTTAATGCAAAAGCAACGCCGGCAGCAATGTATTTTGCTAACAGCCAACACAAACACGCAACTGCCACGCCCATTTAATGTACGCCCTTCGAGCAGAGCACACAGCATTTATAGCGCCCAATAGTATGCTATATAATTTGTGTGTGTATCAAGGACATTTTTAAATTTTTGCCAGACAGTTGTATAAATACAAGTGTATTTGTTTTTTTATTTTAATTGATTTAATATTTTAAGTCTTAAGCTTATGAATATATTTAATTTTTTTTTAATATTTTGTAGCACATTTATTTGAAATAATCCCTAACATTCTTTATTCTTTTTTTTTTTCTTTTTGCTTTTAAAGCGTCGAAATTGTGTGAAGCGTCTGTTATGGCCTTTTAGGGTCCTGATTCAGTTTGAGGTTGTGTGGGTGGGGGCGGAAATGCCCCGCGGGGGTGGTGTGTGGGGTGTTGGCGGATTGTAGAATGCTCCTTTGTGTGTATAGTCGAGTGTGTGTGAGTGTGTATTTATGGCGTCTTTCGCCCTCAATTTCATTTGCAATTGAATTTGGGATTATTTTTCATTTTTGCTTGCGCATCTCACACATAGAGACAGGCGGGGCGAAAAGGCCACAAGTGGCCTGAATGGGTCCCTGCCTGTAATTGGGAGTGGAAAGTGGCGGGGAGGGCCAGTGGCAGTGGCAGGAGCAGGAGCAGGGACAGTGCCAGGAACAGGAAGGAAAGGGGCAAAAAGAGGATCAAACGTGGGAGATGGAACGAAAAGCTGAGCTACAAAAGCCGCTTGCATGTCTGAACGTCGTTTGTCTCAACTTGAATTTTTTCTTAGTTTTTTTGGATAGTTTTTTATACCCACTACTCCTTCAAATATAGGGTATATTGAGACTTGATTTAGAAATAGAAAACAGGATAATACCATAACTATAAAAAATTAATGAAAAAATTAAAACATGCCTTATTTAAAATCCGTATCTTCAGGAAAGTTTACTAGCATCTTACTGAGACACTTTATAGTCGTGTCCTTTGGCCATTGCTCTATCCTATTTTCACGGTTTTTATTTTGAAGGACTACTGCCTTGACAACAAAAACCAACTTGCCCTGAGCTCCCCTGGCAGCGGAAGTTGTAAAATTCATAAGTCGAGCGAGTGCGCGCGTGGCTTTTGTTCAATTGTATCAACAAGAAGGACGAAGGATACAAAAAAAAAATACAGAAAAATAAAATAGAAACACAACGAAAAGAAAAACCTTCAAACGTGGAAGCTGGCCAAGAAAAGCCTCGTACAAGTGCAAGGGCCGATCTGAACTCCAATAAAGATAACACCAAAGTGCACTTTAATCCTTGTGCGGAAATCTCCACAGGCGATGCAGTCGAAGCTAAATCGAAATATGATTGAAGTGTTGCCAGGGATGGGGGAAGGAGCTAACAAGAGATAGAAGTCATTCCTGGGAATGTGTGACACCAAATGAAGTCAGTTCGACAGTTTGGCACTCAAAGACTCAAAGAAAATGAATTGAATTTAACTAATTTTTGAATTGGAAACTAATAGAAAAGAAAACTACTAAAAACTTGAAAAGCTATCCACTTTGAAACAAGAAATATATTCCAATTAAATACAAAATTGCTTTCTTTGGAGAAACTTAATACTTAAATGCCTTAAAAAATCGATATATTTTTTTTTCAGTGGAAAAAGAAAATGTTTCCGAGATAAAAAATCCAATGATCCTAAGGCAGCCAGGGGGGCACAAAGGAAAAAAAGGAGCCGTTGAGTGGCAATCAAAAATTGGAAAAATGAAATGTGCAGGAGACTCGCGCTCAACAGCTGTTGATTGGAGCGGGAGTAGATGGAGTTTAGAGCCAAGCCGAGCTGAGCACTCCGGTTGAGATACTCAGATACACAGATACAGATACCGAGAGCTGTCGGTCAAAAGCATGGCAACGAGAGCATGGCAAAGCATAAAAACCGAAAATCAGACAACATCTTGGGGTAGGCAGCAGTAGCATCAGATAACGATTGAATGGAAGCCTCCTATATAGTATGTGTGGTGTGGCGTATATATGAGGCACTACTCCTCGGCGTGGCAGCAACAATAAAGCTGCCCTAAAAGTGAGAAAAACGAAAAGAAAAGTCCGCCAGAAGGCGATGCAACAAAATGAAATAAAAACGGGTCATTGGAGTAAGGAACGAGAGGGATGGGAGTGTCCTGGTAGTAGTAGAAGATATAGAAGGCATTCTCAAGGGGTTGCCTTTGATATGCAAATTGCATGCCACTGTAGATTTTGTTGGGCGGCTGGCTTCCAAGGGGGGCGGTACATTTTGCGGAAGCTGTGCCCGCTGCGGCATTTCTGGTTTCTCGAGTGTTACGTATTTAGTGCTCCACCTTGCCTCTAGGAGGGCAGGACTATGGCTTCCCCAGGAGCTACACTGTTGGAAATTTTTAATTAAAAGTGCATTTTATTCGCTTTATTTGAGGTGAAAGTGGTATTCTAGGTTTTGGCAGTGTATGGAGCATGGTGTAGGTCGCGAATGGCGGACACCGTTGCCGATCTGCACTGAAGACCGACAACGCCGCCAAAAATGTTTGTAATAAAGACAAACAGTTTCGAAATGGGAGTGTAAATACAAAAAAAAGAAAGTTTGAGTATAAAAAGCAAGTGCGAAGAAAACGAAGAAGAATAAGCAAATGCATAATGGTAATGGCAACAGAACAGCAACATGCCCCAATGCCCTCCCACTTCCTTGACACAATAGCATCAGCCAAATAAAAATTTATGGCTCCACTGAAAGCTGCAACGTTGCCACTGGGAGCTGAGTGAACTGGACTCTCGCAGCTCTCGTCCTGGCGCCAGGATGAAGAATATCGCTGGTGCGCTTGGCCAGTGCCAGTGCTAGTGCCAGGAAAGAATGCCAACAAAGTCGGGGAAACCCTGTTGCCTTGTTATGACTTTCCAGCGATTCGGTTCTGGCTGGCTAGATGGCTGAGAGGGTCCTCCAAGAAGAGGAGGACATTGGTGGTACAGAGCAGGGAGTGGAGGAAAAATAAGGAGGTGTTTAAGTAGCAGCCAAGCGAATAGCATGAAAAATGCTTAATGAAAAGTGCAGAGTGTGTTCCAAACTGCAACAGTTGAATACTCTGTTTAAATAAATAAAGAAAACTTAATCAGCCAAAAGGATAATTTAAAACTTTAACCCGGGACCCGAGGTCCTTGAACAAATGAGCATTTTATTACGCTTGCAATTTATGAAATTTTCGTTATATTGCAAATAATTCCCATCTATAATTCAGGGACTTTAATTAAGCTCTCTGGTTTTCCGGCTCGAATCCTTTAATTTTCTCTGCCACGACTGCCCTGAAATTGATTCAATAAAGCAAAGTATTAATTTTATTCCTCGACTTCGTTTCGTTAAAACTTAAAATGTGTCGTTTCACTGGCCCAGATTTGGGCCAGGCATTCTCGTAACTCGGCAGATTATTCGGGAAATGAATGTAAATGGCTGAGACCATAAAATGGTGGCAGCTTTTAAAAACGTGCACCACTCTCTGTGGTGCTGCAGTACTTCACTCCATACCATTCCATTCCATCCTTTCACTTTATTTAATGTTGACAATCGCGATGAGGGGCGAAAACGCTGGCGAATCGCGAGCAAAACGCGTCCACAGGCTAGTGGATAAAAACCGAGTCTGAAAAGCAGGATTCAGAGCAGGAACAGGAGCTGGGAAAAGCTACAGGCGACCGCGTGGCTGTGACTGCGCTTAAACAATAAAACAATAAATTTTCATTACCGGCTCGGGGCTATTAACAGCTTCCGCTGGCCAAGACAATGCTTTCCAAAGAGCCCAACCACTCTCCACTACACTGATGTGGCGACCGGCGACCAACCGGACCAGAGCTGTAAATATAAATTGTTGATACCAACTTTAAAGTGCAACAGCCACAGAAATGTATGCTATACTCCCTCAGAACTCCTCTCTTTTTTTCTTAATGTATTTTTCAATTTACTGCATTTGAGTTTGGCATTTGCATTATATCCTTTTTTATTCTACCCTTTTTTTATTCGCATTTATGTGGGCAGCGTTTTAATTACATTTTTGTGGCTTTCCCTGGGCGAGTCATAAATAATTTTCAAGCGAGTTGGGTGGAGCGGGGGAACCAAATGCTGCCGGACTGCATCGCCAAATTAACATTCTTTCAACTTGGCTCCAACTCTTTTCTGCGAAGAGCCTGCCTGGCATCCCTTATTCATTCTTCTCCGGCTTTGTTCTACTTTACAGGTCACGTGGCCGGCTGCGGCATCACGGACGAGGTCTCACAATGGATGGAGAACATACAAAATTCAGCCGTCGAAGAGCTGCCGGAGCCCATGTCAAAGGACTACCAAAAGCTCCACCGGAAGCAGCTGCACAAAAAGTCCGCCCCCCAGCAACAGCAACAGAATCAGCAGCAGCAGCACCAGCCCCATCCTCCAAAGAAATATATGAGCGGTGAGGATGACTTCAAATATCCACATCAGAAATATACCAAGGAGGCCAACTACGCCGAGGGTGCGTTCTACGATCCGGCCACCGGACGTCGTCTCGGCTCTTCCGCCAATGTGGCCGACTGGCATGAGCTGGTCCACGAGCGGGTCCGCCGCGCCACCGACAATGGTGGTGCATCCTCTGGCGGGGGCAGGGGTCGGGAGGACAACAAGAATACCTGTTCGCTTTATATACAAACGGATCCATTGATTTGGCGCCATATTCGCGAAGGCATTTCCGATGTAAGTATATATTAAATCTGTATACTGTATCTAATATTTCTGTAAAATCTCTATCATTTTTAAATAACGAAAAAAATACAAGCGCGTGCGCCAAATTAACAAAACACAAAAAATCCAACAAAAAATGTAATTCAACAAAGTCCATGAATTTTGCAATTTTTTTACGATCCAGCAGACTTCTCCCGAAATTGAAGTGCACATAAAACAAAGGCGGGCCCGGCTCTAAAGTTGTTTGCGATGAAAAATAGGGGGTGGCACGTAGACATCGTAGTTGTTATGTTGGTTTTCATACATTCCATTCAGCTGGAAATGGATAAACAAAAAAATTGACTCTCAGCTCCCTACGCAACAATATTTCTGGCCGATTTTTTCGGCCAATTTCAAGGTTCAATGAGTTTTGAAAATTAGTAAAAAATTATTCTTTAAAAAAATGTATTTAAAGAAAACTTTTATCATATTTTTTTAATAAGAATAATAGATTTTTAAAGCTTGTTCTCGGAGCATCTTTACAAGCCACATGTTTAGTAGAATCATGAATTTGTTTATCCACTTATTCAGCGGATTTTTAAGGCTCTATAAAATGGCTACGAATCCTTTTTGTCGCATTTACCGGAACTGCCTACTTTTGGGGGCAACCGCCGCGGAACAGAGCTTAGCAATCATCCAATCAGCTGACCTCCTTCGGCTCGTGGAGCGTATGCAATCAACCGTTATGGCCCGTCATCGTCTTCGTCCTGCATCCTTCGTATCCTTCTCCAGCTCCTTTAGATCCTTCAGCAACCGCCACCCATTTGGAGCAATTCTTTCGCCGCACTTTTATGTTTACGTTCATTTTTTCGCATTGTACGCGAGATGATGTCGACGTCAACATCCTCGTCACCGGAGTGCCAGCCTTATTTCGTCCTGGGTCCTTCGTCCTTCGCCGCTGTCCTTGTCTTTGTCCCCTCGGCCATCTCTTTCGCTCACGTTCTCCGGCGTGTGTTTATTTGCAATGAGTTTTGCATAATTCGCGCATTTGTTTCGCTCTTGCTTTCACGTTCCCTGTCCCCAGCCCAGTCCAGCCCATCGCGGGCCTTTGTTTTTGTCTCGTGCCCCCCCTCCGGCATTTTGATTTTTGAGCCAAAATCGGTGGGCGATGGAGATATATGGTGTGTATGTGTATGCCACCGGATATATTCAGACCCAGTCTGAAGGGAGTGAGCCGCATAAAACCTTATAAACTTCTGCTGAAATATTCGACGGGCTTAGCTGAATTTGCATTTTTATACAAATATATATATTTTTGAGGGGTTATTTTTGTCATGGATTGGATTGGATGAGCCGTCGGATGAGGGGAAGCTGCTTGGATACCGCTAAGAGCCAAAATCATTTGTTGGGGGGTAACCGTTTTTGGGCCCCGTTTACACAGATGTCAAGCGCATTTCCCATGAACCGAAAACCCAAAACCGAAACGAAAAACCCCGAAAACCAAAGGCCCAGCGCATTGCGGTTTTGACATTTTTATTACGCTGGAAGCCGCTTGAAGTCGAGTGCGTTTCATGTTAATTAAATCTGTCTACCTTGTGGCATAATCACATGGCTTCTCTTCTTCCAATACCCTTTTTTAAGATTATAACATTTCAAAGGAACTTGGGGTGTGTTTAAGATTTTGGTTCTCTCGCTTAATGTTTTATTTTAATTAATTTTAAGTTGAAAGTTGAACAAGTTTATATTAATGTGAGTGGTTTTAAGGGAAATTTCCTCTTATTTCTAAGAGTATGTTTTAGGATCATCATAACACTTTATTATTAGTTCTAGGAGAATACTTACGTTGATCGTATTTTATGATAGATAGACAATAGAGCTTGATTTATAAATGGATCTTTACGTTACCTCTAAAGATCCGTAAGTTTCCTTGTTTCATCACTTCTTAGAGTATGTTCTGTTATCCTTATGAAGAGTCTTACATCTTTAAATAGAGCGTCTTCTATAGGAAACCTTCTTTAATAAAAATAATTGTATTATAATTTATAAAAATGGACATAGCCAAGTAACCCATAAGTTTGGCTACCTTTTTTTCAACACCATCTCAAATGTCATTTTGTAATTCCTTTTTTTTTTTTGCAGCAACAGGATCGTGGGCGTAGGTACGAGGTGGATGTGAAAACCCGTGAGGAAATCACATCGCTGATTGCACATCACGTGACGGCCGTTAATTACATTTACCGCAACACAAAGTTTGATGGACGCAACGAGCATCGCAACATCCGCTTTGAGGTGAGTTTACACACACACCCACACACAGAGAGTGAGTGTGTTCTGGTGGCACAACATCAGCGGGTGGGCAAACAATGATAATGAGGCAAGGACTCCACAAGGACTCTATACCATTATTATTACTGGCCGAAAGGGCCCTTAGCGATGTGGATTTTAAAGCCAAGTCAATGTAACATGGATTACACCTCGTTGCATAATTTATAACAATTATTTAAACCGCAACAATAAAAAACAATTAAATGGAATATGGGTCACGACAAGTAATGTATGGCTTATTGGAATTGGCATTTCAAACAAAAAAAAAACTCCTCTTCATAAATGAGAATCCGCATATGAGAATCGCAATGAAAATACAAAACTTTCAATGGCTCTTAATGGAAAAAAGCTATGTGATTAATTATGGGAAAAAATGCCGTAATGTTGTGATTAAAACATTAATTTTAATTTGTTTACTTTTTTTCCTCGATGTCTAGGTGCAACGTATAAAGATTGATGACGACTCTGCCTGTCGCACTTCGTACAACGGACCCCACAATGCCTTCTGCAACGAGCACATGGATGTCTCCAACTTTTTGAATCTCCACTCCCTCGAGGATCACTCGGACTTCTGTCTGGCCTATGTGTTTACCTACAGGTGCGATGGATTAGATGGAATTTTTTAATTTCCGGCTTTAATTAACAAATTTCCGTTCTGTTTACAGGGACTTCACGGGCGGCACTTTGGGCCTGGCGTGGGTGGCAAGTGCCTCGGGCGCTTCCGGCGGCATTTGCGAGAAGTACAAGACCTACACTGAGACGGTCGGGGGGCAGTACCAGAGCACCAAGAGATCCCTCAACACGGGCATCATAACCTTCGTGAACTACAACAGTCGAGTGCCGCCAAAGGTGTCGCAATTGACCTTGGCCCACGAGATTGGCCATAACTTTGGATCACCTGTGAGTTGGATGCATTATTTTTGAAATATATGAGCTATAACCCTCTCCTTTCTCAGCATGATTACCCGCAAGAGTGTCGACCTGGTGGCCTCAATGGCAACTTCATCATGTTCGCCAGTGCCACCTCGGGTGATCGCCCCAACAACTCCAAGTTCTCGCCCTGCTCCATCCGGAATATATCCAACGTTCTGGATGTCCTGGTGGGCAACTCAAAGCGTGACTGCTTCAAGGCCTCGGAGGGCGCCTTCTGCGGCAACAAGATTGTGGAGTCTGGCGAGGAGTGCGACTGTGGCTTCAACGAGGACGAGTGCAAGGACAAGTGCTGCTATCCGCGTCTCATCAGCGAGTACGATCAGTCGCTGAACTCCAGTGCAAAGGGCTGCACCCGGCGGGCGAAGACCCAGTGCTCCCCGTCGCAGGGTCCCTGCTGTCTGGCCAACTCCTGCACCTTTGTGCCGATCAGCAACCACCAGAAGTGCAAGGAGGAGACCGAGTGCAGCTGGTCGAGCACCTGCAACGGCACCACCGCAGAGTGCCCCGAACCCCACCATCGCGACGACAAGACGATGTGCAACAATGGCACTGCCCTGTGCATCCGTGGCGAATGCAGTGGCTCGCCCTGCCTGCTCTGGAACATGACCAAGTGCTTCCTCACCTCGTCCACGCTGCCGCATGTGGACAAGCGCAAGCTGTGCGACCTGGCCTGCCAGGACGGCAACGATACCTCCACCTGTCGCAGCACCAGCGAGTTTGCCGCCAAGTATAACATTCAAAAGGGTGGCATTAGCCTGCAACCAGGTTCTCCTTGCGACAACTTCCAGGGCTACTGCGATGTGTTCCTCAAGTGCCGCGCCGTGGACGCCGATGGCCCGCTGGTGCGACTGAAGAATCTCCTCCTCAACCGGGAGACTCTGCTCACGGTGGCCGAGTGGATCACCGGCAACTGGTATCTGGTGGTGCTAATGGGCGTGGCCTTCATTGTGGTGATGGGCGCCTTCATCAAGTGCTGTGCCGTGCACACGCCCAGTTCCAATCCCAAGAAACGGCGGGCACGTCGTATTAGTGAGACACTGCGTGCTCCCATGAATACGTTGCGAAGAATGGTGAGTTCTCAACCTCAACTCCTGTAAAGATAAGACCTAATCCTTTCGATTTCTTCTAGCAACGTCATCCTCATCAGCGAGGCGCCGGTCCACGCAGCATCCCACCGCCAGCCCACGAGGCGCAGCACTATCCCCGCAGCGGAGAAGGCCGCAGCGGGGGTGGCGGCGCTGGAGGAGGCGGCGGACGCCATGGCGGTGCCCGATCGCATCATCAGTCCCATCCGCATGAGTGGGACCGCCAACAGGGCGGTCACTCCATCGTGCCCCTGCCCACCGGCGGCAGCCATGCGAGTCGCAGCTCTGCGGCAAACCAGGCGGCAGCGGCGAGACGCAGCGATGGACGCGGCACAAGGTCCACTAGCAGCGGGAGGCCGCAAGGCGCCAGCGGAGGCTCCAGTGGAGCGTCCCGAGGACATGGCGGGTATGCAGCCGAGCAGGCGATACCGGGTTCCATTGGTGGTGGTGTGCAGGCGGCCATTAGCAGCGGCGGTGTGGTGGCTCGGGCCCAGCTGCCGCTGCCTCTGCCGCCGCCGAATGCACAACAGCAGGTGCAACAACAGCAACAGCAACAACATCTGCAACTGCAACAGCCGCATGTTGCACTGTCGCCGCAACAGCAGCCGCAAGCGTTCTACGCGCCGAAAGGTGTGTTCTTCTGAGTGTCCTTTCCCGAGAGTGAGCCTTGAGTTGGTAGTTTGCCCTTATCGCTCCTCAGCCTTTTCTAGCGATTTATTTGCCTATTTTCTCCCCTTTTGCCCACAAAAATATTTAATTTGTCGTTTTTCTTTTCGTTTTGCGTTTTACAATCAAAATTCAGAGCTACCACCACGCAATAAGTCCCGCTCATCACGTACCAACAACACCTCCATCACCACCACCACAACCACCAACTCATCCACCGCGGCAGCGTCCGGCAGTGGGGCGGTATCGGGTGGGGGATCGGGATCGGGGGCGGGCAGTAGTAGCAAGAACAAAAGCGGGAAAAGTGCCAAAACCAAAGACGCCAAAAATTCGCAGAAACAGTCCAGCAGCAGCAGCCGGAGCAGCAGCAAGGAGAAGGCCACCAAGCCGGTGCGCCGAAATATCGTTTATTAACGGATCCGGCTCCATTATAAATGCCATAACACAGAAAGACATCACAGACTCCAAACTCCCGATAAATACCATCGATCCATGAGTTGTTTGCTTCCCATCCACTACCAAAAATAAAAATTAAAACAAGACAGAACTTTTATAAACAATTCCAATTGGTATGACCTTTGTGTTTTTTGCTCGTTTTTTTCCCACTTTTTTCCTCCTCCCACAATTGTTTGGTCGTATTTTTTGTCCACAAGGACTACTCCTGGCATGTTGTCCTTTGATCCTTTGTGTAGTGTCCGGTTCCCCTTTAATTTTGGATTATGTTGTTGTTGTTTTGTTATTGCATGTGCATATGAATATATTTTTAACACCTATTTTTAAGATCTTGTACTAATAATTGTTTTAATTAAAAAATACTAACCATAAAGAACCACTAACCATGGTTTTTGAAAACATTAACAATTTATGTAAAACTTTTTATAAAAAAACCCTTTAATAATATTTTATTTCCCTTCCCAAAGGCGTCGCGGTGCCTCAGCTACAAGTAAACTTTAGTCGGCCGACATCGTTGCACGAACAACAGCAGCAGCAACATCACATGCAACAGCAACTGGAGCCCCAGGACCAGCAGCCACAGCCACAGCCGGCGTATGCCGACGCGTATGCGGCCTTGGGGCGGGGCCAGTACGAGTCCACCTCCCGGGCGCCCAATAATAGTAAAGTTTGACAGCCAAAAGCGGCTTCGGAGCGCCACAAACGGCCAAAAGCAAAGCGACTCAAGCAGCAGCAGCAAGAACCAGAGATGCCACAGCAGCAACAGCGTCGCCAGCAACAAACAACACAGCCACAACAGCAACAAAAGCAAAACAAACAAAAATCAAATGAACTCAAATTAAATGTAAATGTAATTTTTATGCTTATTATTTTTATTTAAACAACCATTTGTATGCCACAAGGGAAAAGTAGACGAAAAACAAGTGAGACAAATTTCATGAAAAAATATAAAGCTAAAAGTGAATGATATTTTTGATTAAATAAATTGAAATGAAAAATAACGAATAACGAATGCAAATTATGATTAATACGAATAATTAAAAATGGCAACATGCATAAAATATATATATATAGAAACTAATGGTAAATATACATATACATTTGTGTGTATATATTTATTAAAAATATGCAAATATTTATTAGCAACCAGCCACAACACAAAAATATTAAAAAGAAAAAAAAAACAAAAACTAATGTTAATTGTATGAAAAAAAAGCAAGCATTATACATGTCGGTCAGATTTCTAAAGGAAAAACGTAAATATAAAATTAATTAAACATTTTCGAATCCAGAGAGAAATGTGTTTTGTACAAAAAAAAAAAAAAGAACAAAGTTGAATAAAAACGTGGATGAATTAATTAAGCGGCATTAACAAGAAGAACGGAAACAGCAAAGCATTTAAATTGTATTTACCTGTACGGAAGGCTAAATGTTTAATAAGAGCCGTCAAAATTGCATTTGTAAACTAGCAATCAACCATGAAACCAAAAAAAAAAACGACTTAAATCTCTAAAATATTTAACAACCAAACGAGACTTAAAATTGATGTGTTTTTAGCCCCCAAAACTTAATGCTTTGAATTTGTTAACGAAAGTATTTTCTGAGTAAGATTTTCGAAAGTTGCTTTGATTGTTTTCCGATCATCTTTTCCTTGTGCAGAACGAAGCAAACGAAGTAACTAACTTTTTGATATATTTCTACTATCTATCATATTTTTACTATCTTAGGTACAATTTTCTATTGTCAATTTGAATTAGTATTAGGTTTAAAGCTTTATGTTTTAGCAAGCTGGTAGCGAGCCCGCCACTGATTATGTTTAATGTTATCTCACTTGAATATTGTATTGTATATGTATGTATCCCGAAACGATGGCCTGGGCCTGTAATTTACTTTGTTGTAGTCGCATAGGTTACTAGTTTATGTTTTTTGTTTTTGTCTGTGTTTCGAATTTCGAATTTGCATGCTCAAAATCGAATAATACTGCAACTCACAGAGTCTCGACTGATGTACTATGTATTCCAAATCAAGTCATCGCTAGGATGTCGCCAATAATGTCGTTTGTAATGTCGTTGTGTTCATTAATAATTCTTGAATCTAAATTGGATCGGGTACAATTTTTTCTCAAATGATAAAATGCATTTTAAACGTGTTCTGTGGTAGCTTAATTTTCTATTCCTGCAAGACTCTACGTAACGATCAACTTCAAACTCCTGTAAATAAACTCTATAAAAAAATATATATACATATAAATACTAAAATCTACAATAAGGAATAAATTTAAATTGAATTGCATAACCATTCAATGCAGAATAAGTTTAAAAAATAATTAAATTACATAAATTGATATATGCAATATGTATTCAATTTTCAAATGCAAAAGAAACAAAAGTGAAACAAAGGCAAATCTCTGCTTTTCGTATCTCTCAAAACAAGTAACAAAGAACAAAAACAAAAAACATTTAACTATTAATTTAATTATAATAAATAAAGAATTAATTAATTGACTTTAAGTAAACTAATTAATTATGATTATGGAAAAGAAAACTTCAAAAAAGAATGGATGAATATGAAAAATGATAATAAAACAAGAAAAACCTACTATTTTATAAAATAAATTAAAGTGTTTGAATTTATTCAACTGGGGAGTGACTTTTTTATACACTTTCAGAGGGTATAAAAATCAATCAAGAATTCATTTGGGGTACTCTGCCTGAGAATTGGGTAAGATATAGCCATCACTGTGGGCCATATAGGGCCAAAAACCCCATTTTCAGGGAACCCATCACGAAAAATGGACGAAAAATCTAAAAAATATTTTGTCTCAGGATTTTGATGCAGAATGGTGGAGAATCGATCTAGGAATCGTTTAAGGTGTTAAAACACGAGTTATTAAGGCATTTATTAAGTTTTTGTTAATTTTTTAGTTTTATTTATTAGGTGTAAGTTGTTATGTTATGTAGCCATGTAAGGATTTGTCCATTGGCGAAATAAATAAATAAATAAATAGATACAGCCATCACTGTGGCCCATATAGGGAAAAACCCCATTTTCAGGGAACCCATCACGAAAATTGGACGAAAAATATAAAAAATATTTTGTCTCAGGATTTTAATGCAGAATGGTGGAGAATCGATCTAGGAATCGTTTAAGGTACTCCGCTTGAGAATCGGATGAGAATTGGGTAAGATATAGCCATCACTGTGGGCCATATAGGGCCAAAAACCCCATTTTCAGGGAACCCATCACGAAAAATGGACGAAAAATCTAAAAAATATTTTGTCTCATGATTTTAATGCAGAATGGTGGAGAATCGATCTAGAAATCGTTTAAGGTACTCCGCTTGAGAATCGGATGAGAATTGGGGAAGATACAGCCATAACTGTGGCCAATATAGGGGAAAACCCCATTTTCAGGGAACCCATCACGAAAAATGGACGAAAAATCTAAAAACTATTTTGTCTCAGGATTTTAATGCAGAATGGTGGAGAATCGATCTAGAAATCGTTTAAGGTACTCCGCTTGAGAATCGGATGAGAATTGGGGAAGATTTAGCCATCGCTGTGTGGCACATAAAGGAAAACCCCATTTCAGCGAACCCATCACGAAAAATGGACGAAAAATCTAAAAAATATTTTGTCTCAGGATTTTGATGCAGAATGGTGGAGAATCAATCTAGAAATCGTTTAAGGTACTCCGCTTGAGAATCGGATGAGAATTGGGGAAGATATAAAGTTATCTTTTCGTTCTTGGAAAAATTTGTGTTTTTCTTTTAAATATTTTAATTTATTTAAATTAGTTGGCAAAAAAGTTCAAGGCACTTTTTGAAAATACACATTAGTTTACAATTACTTAGAAATTAGTATACAAAAATTCATTTGGTTAACAACAAACGGATCGAACACATGATGAACTCCAAGCTCTGGAGGCTAAAGGATTTTTCCAAGTTATGCACGTATCCTGGAGGCCTTCTTGCTCTTGTCGGCCTTGGGGGGTGGTGGTCCACTGCGTCCTGCCTGCATATGACGATTGTAAATGCTGCAAAAGGGATACCATTTAGTTATGCTTAAAATAATAAATTTTAAGCAATATTTACATTTTATATGTCTCCGTTTTTAGGTAATCAATAACATGACTGATTCCCAGCAGATACTGCTCGGAAATGGGATTAACCCAAGGATTCTCCTCCATTTTCATCACCGACTTGTTGCTCAGCAGATCGAGCTGGGCGATCTCGGGGGGCAGCACTTGCAACCTGTTGTTCTGGATGTGAAGCTCCCGCAAACGCACCAAATCTCCCACCTCACGTGGCAGCTCCAGCAGATCGTTGTCGCGCAGTCCCAGAATCTGTAGGTTCTTCAGCTGGCCCACCTCCTTGGGCAGATATTCAAAATCGTTGTCACCCAGATATAGGGCTCGTAGTGTCTCCATGCCGAAGAAGTTGCCGGGCAGGACATGCTCGCTGAGATTATTATAGGACAAGTCCAACACCTCCAGGACAGGGAAGGCGCCAAAGCCTCGGGGCAGATTGATCAGCCGGTTGATGGACACGTTCAGGATCCGCAGCTTGGGCATAGATGACAGTGAGACGGGCAGCTCCGTCAGTTGGTTATTCGAAAGGTTGAGGATCTCCAGGTTGAGAAGATTGGCAATTCCAGGACTGATCACACTGATCTTGTTATGGGACAGTGTAAGCCGAGTGATGTTGGACATGTTGACTGAAAAATAAAACTATTAGTTAAAGGTTTTGGAATAAAAGTTAAATACAAATGCAAATTTCCTACTGGGTTCAAACATAAACAGCTGTTTTGGCGCAACAAGTACGAGAGTATAAATATTGAAAAATATTATATGATCTTTTCAAAATTATTTAAAATTGTAAAAACCTAAGAGAAATAGTTATTCCAACAGTTTTATTCTTTAATTAAAGAAAATTTCTCTTTTAAAACTTCAGTATTTTCTTAAAATCCCATTTGTTTACATTTTGTAGAACGTTTCGTTTCTATTTTGGTGCTGGCGTCATCGCAAAAAATAAAACTAATTATCTTTAATATTCATGAAACCATTGAACTCTTTAAAGATTTAGGTATTTTCATAGAAGATATTACAAATTTAATAATGAAAATATTATTTTAAGAAACTATTTAAGAAGTTCTTTAAAACAGTTGGGCGAGGTTTGATTTGCGTGGGAGTTACTCTTTGATTGTAGGGAATTTCTTCAATTTTTACGCATTGAAATGATACTTACACAATCCTGGGAGCTCCTCAAAGGAGCTGATACCCTTGTCCACCAGGTCCAACTCCCGGTTTTGTGTTTCACGGGCTTCATCCAAAACTTTCTTTGCCTTCGACATCTTCGCGTTCACAGGTATACAAGATTGACTCATCTTGGGTTTAGGTATTTTTCGGTATTTTTTGAAAGGGTGCTGCCACTAGGTTTCTTTTTTTTTTAATTAGGAAAAATTAAAATAATTCACATTGAATATGGAAAACAATTAAAATTATTATTAGGTTTAATTATTATATTATTCAGAAATTAGGAAATGCATTAAGAAGTTTTGAAGGATGCCAGACTGTTGAAAAAAGTTATGTAGATAAAATTTAAAAGAAAAGTCCTATTAAAAAAATGAAGGACTTGAAAGGTGTTTATCTTATTAAGATTATTTAAAATAAAAGGTAGTTAAATTTTTAATTAATAGTTGGAGCTTCGCAAGCTTTAATATTATGTTGACAGCCGAGTAAAATATGAATGAATCTATGAGGTAAGTATTTCAAAAAAGGAATACAATTTCTTTTAATAACTCAAATATTTGATATATTATGAAAATTGAGCAAATAATTATGAAGATTCTTTTATTTTAAGCATTTTTATTTCATTTACTTAATAGCTAGCCTAGTTTACATGTAGTAGCCCATGTAGAATATCTGTAAAATGTGAGCTCCACTAGTCACTCTCAAACTGTCTTACCTTGAACAATTACTCTAAAACTATCTGAACTGCACTTCTCCTTTGCATATGTTACTCTGCAATTAGTTTTCAGCATAAATCCATTACTTTGGAGCACATTTCACACTTTTCTAGGTCACTTGGTTATGCAAACAATGCACTTGACCTGTTTTATTTTGTAAAAAACAATGGTACAATAAAATATTCTTAAAAATCGCTTAGATCATCACTACTAGCGTTTGGATTTTTGGACCGATTCCACGACATTCACGTTACAAATTAAAGTTGGGGGGATATATGCTAATGCGTCTGTCTTCAGAGCGATATCCGAAATTAATCACGAAAATAGCCGAAATGCGGAATGCGTCGTGTGTCGTGCGATCGTCTCGAGTAACTGAGGAATACCTCTCGCGGCGTCAACGAGATCGATCAAGGTGGAGAAGTGGTTGTGGGCGGTTTTGGGGGATCGGGGGCTTATAAATATATATAGTATTATATATATACGTATATATATAGCTGGTTTTGCCTTTTCTGATTGCCGTTGTTGCCGGTAGAAAAACAAAAAGCAGCCAACCCGGCTCGACGCGATATAAACCGATCTTTGGTTTTTGTTTATTTTATGAAAAGTATTTTGTAGCAGCCAGAAAACCAGTTTGCAACATCACCGCGAAGTTGCATTCCAAATCGATTACAGGCTAGTTTTTTAAACCATAAAATTGGTAATTCTATTCGGTTCAAATTTTTACTTGGGGATTCTTACTTGGGGCTTCCTATTGCCGAACAGAGCTAGAGTCGTTCCCGAGATGTACGGTTTGCAGAACAAAGTTTCCCGCCTGACTAGAGGATGTTGCTAAAGTTATATATCTTTGGGATATATCTCCTGTTCCTGATCTTTCACATTGAAGCGCAATCGCGCAAAGTCTGTAAGTTTTCTATATAATATTTAATTAAACTGGTAAGTTAAATTGAAGCAGTTTGCAGGGGAAAACGGGGATGGGGCACTTGCGTTGCGGCAAAGGCTCCCTGCAAATACCGTCGCTATAAGGATAAGCTCTGTAGGAATAACTTAATGTGCTGCGCTCCTTACTAAATAGCTAAATATTTTGTTATGTCTTAAATATATCTACATGTTTGCCTATTTTCTTGTTTTATATATATTTTATTTCATGATACTTTATGGATATGGTTTTACAATTTCTAATCCTCGTCGAATCAATTAAAATTTCAACGTAATATAATGATATAATACATATTGAGAATTCCACAATTAGATATGGGGATTAAAATTAACTAACAAAAAAGATATAAATCTTAATCTTTTTTCTGATACTTATGGCGGTGTTGGGGATCCAGTTTTTTGTGCCTAGTCCTTTGGGGCATTTCGTGAAAAAGTGGCACGAATTCTCGAGCCCAGAACATGTCCAATATTCTCCTCCAGGGACTTTCCGCTTTGCCTGTTTGTTGCATTTTTAATTACTCAGTTGCTGCTCCACTTGCAGTTGCAGCTTGTGGCCAGTTTAGTGCAACTTTGTGGATCTGGGGATACGTGAGTGAATGAGCGGGTGGGTGGGTGCCTGTGGGTGTGAGTCATGTCTCTGCCATTTTAGCTTTCATATTAATTTTCATTTCGTCGGTTGTCGATTCTGCAAATCTGAAAGTTTGTCTTATGCGCCTTGCGCTGCATAATTTGCGTGTTTCATAAGCATTTTTGTATTTTGGATTTTTTATTTTTCGGTTTTTGGCTGGGACGTGGATTGGCTTGGATGATAGTTGGGTTGAGTGCCTTCGTTGTTGTGTTTTTTGTTTGTTGTTCGGGGCCTGCACACACACTTCCGCCGTATAAAATATGCAAAACAATGCAAACTCTCGCCTGGCCAGGGAAATAACAACAACAATAACAAAAACTTTCCCTGCTCTGGTCCAGAAATTAATTTTTGTTTTAGATGGCGCGCAGATTTTTTGGCTGAATTTTTGGCTGCACTACTAATGCTGCGGCACCGGCACCGCGAACCCAAAACCGACCACTGCCCGTAATTTTTGTTTTAATTAACTTTTTGTTTGTTGTTTTTTTTTGATTTTTTTTCGAAACTTTTGTGCATTTCTGTGCAAATTGTGCTAATTTTAAAATGGTGGGTGCAACGAAATTTTTTGGAAATGCATATTTCATGCTCAGAAATTGTGATAGCAGGAAGTGGATTTTTGATCCATAGGGATCCCAGCCAGGATTCTGACCCATCAAAGTTGATTTAAAAGTTTACCATACTTGAATAATTTATTTCAACTAAATGCTGGACCAATAGCTTTATAAGACTCCCTTCTTGTGGTGTCCGCAGCCCATAAATTTGTTCAATTCCCCGGAATATTTAGAATTGTTAAGTCGGAAAGCCTTCTTTTGGCATTCGGCAGCCATAAATTCGCATTAAGTTGTAACCTTATTTGCATTTAGTTCATGGAAATGCCCAAGAGTGTTCGGAGGCGGCGAATAATCGATCTGGATTCCAGTTAATTGATGGCGCTTGCCTGTCGACAGGCGGCATTGTCCTCACTAATTTGTGTCCTTTTTCCCAGTTGTGACCACAGGCAGAAAGAGTTGTTGGCCATTCGGCTGATTGAATAGGTCCAAGTGGACTGGAATTGGGCCAAAAACAGAAATATAAATGACAGGACCTCTCGTCTCACTGCTGTCAACACATGGAAACGGACGCATGCTTTTGGCCGGCACTGTCGATGTGTGTGTGTGTGTGCCAGTTGGTCACTTACTTTATTCCTGGCCATTTTTCAATGCGCTTTGTTTATCCGGGCCCAGACCCAAGGCCCATGGCTGGCATAAAGCCCGAAAGCTAAGGACCTGGCCATGGCAATCATTGGCAACCGTTGCTTTGCAGCTTCATTGAGGCCTCGACCACAGGATGTGCCTTTTGCTGTCTTGCACATACTTATCCGGCTTCCGGTCGTCCTGTTTTCCATTCTCCCCGCCAGTCCCTATATCCTTCCATCGAGGGATAGAGCGGTGCCGTTTGATTTACTTCAAACAATTGGCAACATCATACATCAACGCGCCTTTGTTTTTGTTTTGTTATCCTGGATTTTTTTGGAGTAAATCTCATTGTAAAGAGCCTTAGTCTTACCACCTTTTTTTTTGGTCCTGCTAAATCTTTTTAGATTTTTTTGCAGCCCAAGCTTGCCCAAGTTTTGCAAAACTTTCCCAGCACAGGGACATAAAAATATCAACAGAATTTAAGAGGCCAGCTTATGGCAGGCTTTGAATATTTTATTTACTAAGTATCTATTTAAATTGAAGGTATTTTTAATGAAAATAAAAAGTAATAATAACTATTTAAAACCCATAATTTAAATTGTTTCCCCGCAGGCTCCACATACATGAGTAAAATAAATGCCATAAACTTTGTTGAATCCAATAAATGATAAAAGAAATTAATTGGCACATGTGGTTGACGAGGGTAAAAAAACTAATCCATTTTAATTAAAGTAAATAAAATTTTATTTTCATAGCAATGGTGGTGAGCAAAGTACACAGAGGGATTATGCAATCAGAACAAAAAAAAAAGTGTGAGGAAAAAGAATTAAAAACCAGAAATGAAACAAAATGACAATAATTATTGGTAAACGGCAAGGGAAAGTTAGATAAACGGATTTAAATTGCGGATTTGTTTGCCTTTATGTAAAATGCATAATTCATAATCACATGCACATGCTGAATAAATAAAATTTCACATTAATTTGTTGACAAATGGGAATTTATTAGCGCGACAAAGGCCCGATTCGGTTGGGTAGCTTAAAAAGCGATTAATTAGCGCTGATCTGGCTTTTGGATTGTCGACAAATGTTTAGCTGCTCATTAGTGGCCCAGTGCGGACTAGGGAGCATTCTGCATCAAGTATACGCCGCATATGACCGAAAGCACCTGCCTCATTAGAATTCAGTCTGTGCTGTGCCCTGCTGTCTCGACTCGTCTCAAGTTAGCCTTAGCTTCAGTCTTCCGCAACGTCAGCCGCAACTAAAAAAATAAGAAAAGTAAAACACAGCCACACGGAAAATAAGAAAATTGTGTAAGCTTGGGAAAACTACTTGTTATTCAGTGCGTTGAACTTCGTTTAGCTGGGCGAAATGTTTTAGAACTCGTTAGAGACTCCATGGGCCAGGCAGAGATTGAGCCTCGGGTCTGCTGTCTCATCAATGCACTCGGGACCCATTGAATATCACCGGGTAATCGATTTACCATCAACTGTTGCTTGCCGTGCAATTTCCACCGAAAAGTCCACCTTAATTGAATTTATGAGTAATTTTCTTATGATTGTGCAATACTGCGGAAAATGATCCTAATTTGGAAAATACATTTTCAAATATGATACAGTTGACAACACATTCAGTTTCATTCTTTATCAAAAATATAGAGTTTCACATTTTTTGTATTAATGTGCAAATATTTTCGTATCTGTGACTGTTTTTTTGTGTAGAATCTGGTCAAAAGAATGATAAACTGTGGGATTGTGTGACATTTGATTTTGGCCATTTTTCATCTGATGGTTAGGTTGGTTGGACAACGATTTCTGACACCTGTTGTCCTGCGGGAATTCAAAAAGTACATCTTTTTCTGACCATCTCATTTGACAGTTACTACGTGTTGAATACATGTTCACACTTAATAATTGACAACTCGAGCAAAACTTTTGACAGGATAACGACAAAATGCTGTCAAATAAAGGAACACAGTTACCAACTAGAATGAAAAGTGATTCAACTGATTTTGAGCAATTACAGCAAGAGCAATCCAATTAACTGACTCCTCAGACTCCCCGGAAGGCTATTGAAATTCTGTCAAGCTCAGGCACTTTCCACAAACAATATAACTCTCCGAGGAGAGGGATTCCGGGCCGCGTGGTTCGTGGATGATGAATGATGCATTGCCTCTTGATTCCCAATTTATTTATACTTTGGATTTTATTTTCCTTGCTGCGGGCCAAAATGCGAGGCAAGAACGAAAGACTAAAAGCAGAACAGTTGAGTTTTATTGGCCAAATTGATAAAGTGGCTGCAGAAAAATGGAAGGGAATTGCAAATGCAAGCCGATCGATCGATAAGGCAGCCAAAAGAACTTGAGAATATTTTCAAAAAAGGAGAAACATAAAATAGTAAAATGGGGAGTGAAGTACAAGGATTTGGGGATTTATTTTCAATGTTTTCTCTTCAGCATCATCAGTACTTGTGTTTTGCATGCATAAAAATATTCTGATTTTCTGCTGGCAAATTGAAGAATTTTTAATGGGATATAAAATGTAAAAAAGTCTTAAATATCTTAAATAAACCAATACACCATGTTGTTGCAAACTAATCTTGACACACATGTTAAAATAAGAAACCACAAAAGTACCTTGTTAAACCTTTATTTCACCGAAAAATATAAAATTCGGGCATAAAATCAGAACAAATCCACTCCGTCTGGCTTAAAATTCGAAAAGGACTTGAGCCTCGCAACAGACCGAGAGTAAGTTCAGTATGGAAGCAGAGGAATAATCGCAGCTCAAACATTTAAACAGATTTACTTTCAAAAAGGATTCGAGAGGCCGGCCTGATTGCGGACGGGGGAGGACGGGCAGGACTTCACTTTGCCGGTAAGCCACTGGACTGCTGGGATAAAAAGGGGCACGCGGTGGTCCATGTAACGTAACATGCTCAATTTAAAGTGCCTCTGATCTAGCAGTGGAAATCACAGTAGCCGTATGAATGGTGGGCTATGGGGGGCTGGGAGTGTGCACAACACGTCTCTCTTTGTTTGGACTACAAATAGATGAGCCTTACACCAATGCAGGCTGCCGGAGTGTGTATGCTGGTTATAGAGAGAGAAAAATTTTTGTAGCATAATTTTCGGCGCCAACAATAGCAGGACGTGCACTAGAACAGGAGCCAGCTGGAGGCAGAGGGAGGAGCGACGAGGTACCAGGGGCAGACAGGAGGCACATGGCATATATCAGCACATGCATCCATAAATCATATTCCTGCAGGAGCAAAGTGCAGGCAGCCAGGAAGCGGCCAGGATCCTTCACCATCCGTGTATGTGCTCTCCGTGTATGTGTGTGCCTAGCAGCCGTGTTGGCTATTTTAAGGATATTTATACTG